GCTCTGTCTCATCTCCATAGGGATGGATTGATACACGGCAATATCCATGGCACGAACATAATTATTGATGGTGATATTCCAACATTTTGCAATATACGCCGATTAGTGCAATCAACGTCGATTTCAAGCATACAAGGCGTTTTACCTTTTATTGCACCCGAGATTTTTCATACTCGCAAGTTTACCAAGGAATCCGATGTGTATGCCTTTGGTATTATTATGCATTTGGTAGCCACGGGTGAGCCACCCTTCAGAAATAGAGAATTTGATGCAAATTTAATCTGCGATATTTTACACGGACTACGATCAGCAATGCCTGATTCAGCAACAAAAGAATATAAAAAAATTGCTGAGATGTGTTGTGATGCCGATCCGAACAAGCGTCCAGACATAGAGGAGGTCCTTGGGTTGATTGTCAAAGCACCAGATAATTGTCGCACGGGATTTGCATTTTTATAATAACCTGTATCATAACGCGAAAAAAAGGAGTAAATATTCGAGAAAAACATTTGCGATACGTGATGCTAATTTACAGGATAGGTATTGGCATTGTCATTGTATTACTTTTACTTAAGTCGGTGATTCGTGATCGAGACGTTAACTTGCGATTGATGTTATGATTTTTTGACATTATGAGAAAGATGTATATCCATTACGCATATTCAATAAACTTGCTGTTATTCCTGTCAACTTTATATGAAGTTTATTTGTTAATGATTAATAAATTGCCATTTAAAATTTTTAAGCAGAATATTAATATAACATAAGTAATTATGTTGTGCTATCAACGAACGGCAGAATGGTGAAATTGTTATACAAACCTTATTGCCTATAGTACACGTAGACGTAATTTTTACAATTTAATTGTTACTGCGATAGGATAAAATAAGGTATCCTTTTTTTATACACTAAGTTTATAGAGAGAGCAGATGTACATGTAATAATGTTTATTGTAAACATACATTATAGAGTAGTTAATATGTATATATATTTTTTTGAAAAGGGTTTAGCGAGAAATTTTTTGCAAATGTTGGAAATGGCGCATGGCTTGTTTTGGTGTGGTGAATTTGATGCATTATTTGTTCTTGTCGAATTTTCTATAAGCTTGGCCGTCAAACTGGAATAGACAGAGCAAGAATACAATTTTGTTGTTATTGTTTTCCAAGGAATAATTGATGGCGGTGTCGTCGCTTTCGATTCTAGCTCAGTTGCATGGATAATAAAGATTTAACGATGACTATTAAGGGGATAGGGATGAGTTATGAAGATGAGTTAACGTTATTGTATACGGGGTTTTCGATAACATTCGTAATACACAGTGAACCTGGATATAACGAAGTGGTCTGTTCCGCCACTCTTCTTCACTATATATCCAGGTTTCCTCTTTATAAGAAGCCTTATACAATTTCCTTGTAGCTTCGTTATTAAATAGGTCAACGTGCCCATCTGTATTACTCGCCAATTTCGATATAATGATAATGAATTTTATTGTAAACATCGAATGTCACGTATTCCTCAAGAGTAGTTTGTCGTGCTAATTCTACACTTGTTTAAGAGATTAAATTAGAAAAAGTGATTATAACAGAATTATCAACATTCAAATTCTTTTGTGCAATGTATGCAAGCATGTTATCACAACCCAACAACGCTTCAGAGCTTGTTACGATTCGTTCTTCAAAAGGTTCTTCTTCTTCCTCTAATATTTCAATACGATTAACCGTATCTGCATCATCATTAACCATTACCATTATGATGAGTGTCAACAAACAATGAAGTTTCGTGACGAATGCATATTTATTTACTAATTTTACTAATAATGGTAAATATTACCGAAATAATAACTAACTTTTAGTGAAGTTTATTATAATACAGTGTAGTTTGTTATAATATAGTGAAGTTCGTTATCGAAAAACTTCGTTATAGCCAGTAACCAGGTTTTCCAGGAAATTTTATTAGAGAAAAATTCGGGACATTAAAAAACTTCGTATCCAGGTTCACTGTGTATTATCAATTAAATAAGCGATTGGTTTCGAGGCAAGAACATAACCTCTAGTGTCTTTCTCTGACAAACTGATAGGTTTACTATCCGCATAACAATTAGTAGTCATTTTGGCAATAAGATCGCATAAATATCAATAGACAATGTGAAGAAGTGGCTTGGTTTCGAATTGTGTGTTGTGCGTTTATGATTTTCCGAATACGATAGAAACCATCTTGATATTTACAAAATGGTGCCACACACGTGCACCAAAATTTTTTACTATAAACGAACTTGAATAGTGAACAGAATGTAAAACAAATGCATGACACTGCAGTGTAAAGCTTGATTACGTGGCAAGGCGAACGCTGTATGACTGATGGTATGGGCAATTCGTCCATCGACAAAGTCGATGTGGTCATGAAAATGGGCCCGAAGCCAAATACTATACCACAACGCGCTACGATTAAATCTTTTATGATAGTCTCAGAATAAATATACATCATATAAAGATAAGTCTCTTCATTGGTAAATGACCATCAGTGCAATGTTTATTAGTATAGTTTCACGTCACCGAATGACCATTGCCGACATTTTGTTCATATCTCACTGTTCTGAGCTACTTTTTGAGCAATGCGATCAAGATCACGTTGACCAGCCTGTGAGATTCGACGGCCCCTAAAAAAAAAAGAAGGAAAAATAAGACTATCTATCCCGGTTTGGAAGACGTAGATAGGTAATACGGTATTAGCAACTCGTCTTACCCTTTTGGATCCTTCTCCAGCACACTGATTTTCTCTAGGGCTTGAAGCACTTTACGAGCCACAGAACCCGAAGAATTAGAATGATGCGAGGGTCTAGTTCCCCTTCTCTTACGACCACCATAGCGTTTTCGTAGTGCGCCTACGCCGACACCATGGCGTAAATATATATGCCGGGCGACAGCAGCTAATAAAAAAGGAAAAGAATAATAGCATATTAGCTTTAATAACAGAATAACAATGGATTGCTGATGTGAATACCGATATTGTTCATTACATCTCTTCGATATCGTATTTCTTTCTCTTTCTCTCTCTCTCACTCACACACACACACACTCTCTCTCTCGATAATCAACCTCGCATACACAATTCCCTCCTGACATTTACAAAACCAAGTTGCCATATACATACCAGCACGGATATAAAACCAGTCAGGATCATAAGGTGCTAATTCTTTGTATGAACCGGACTTTACGAGATCGACCCACTTTGGTATTTCCAATTTGCCGGACCGCCTTAAATGGGCAGCATAGGCTTTGACGAATTCGTGTGAACTTACGTCCTTGACTGATACACCACCAACCATTTTCTATAATTAAATTGATGACATGAGCCAAAAAAAAATTTTGCAGTGTTTGTAAATAGTTGTCAAGTAACCATTTTTACTTAATCAATATACAGATTACTAAGCTTTACTTTGAGTAAAGACATAGAAAAGCACATTCATATTCATGTTTGTATAATATGCGAGTTGAGTGTTTTGACTATTTGAACGTCGAGCTTATGTAAGTAAACCAACCTTTTGATCGAGGCTTTTGGGGAGGGATTAACGTCGTCAAACGGAGAGAGGAAGAACATAAAGAAATCGTTCGAACGTGGAAAAAATTTTCCAGTGGGCATGCGGTGCAACGCATACTCACCCCTTACTGGCTGAAAACCATTCGTGAGGTCATCTGACTGAAGCGAGTCATAAGTAGTTTGTGTTACAAAGGTTGATTGACGTAAATCGCGCTGGTAAGTTGAATATTATTGTTCACGTATTTATACAATCCACCATATTACATATGGGTATGCGTGTAGCTAATCATTACCAACATCAGTAACGTGTACAGTAAGCTAATCTATAATAGAGACATGCGTCAAATCGACTTCTCTCATTAGATATTGGATCACAATTTACGTTCGCATGGATCTACTGTACAGTATGTGAGCCGTATGAACTTTTCCGACGCGATAGTTATCTTGTAACTGATATAGCAATTTATAACAAATATACAAATCATGCGGGTTCTACCTATCATTGGCTAATCCACCAGTAAAATATGCAGAGTCATTAGATAAGCTAGATTGGTACGAGATTCGGCGGTTCCATCACTTCGTAGCAAGAAATAAATCGTTCGAGAAATAACCGTCTGATCAAGTAAATGGGCTAATTTCTGTTGAGCATAGCGCGTGTAAAATTTATGTTGAACTATGAGGCATCTCACTACACATTATCACGTTAGATTGATCGGATATACGAGAATGCAACCTAATCTCTAAGTTTTCAAAGCCAATGATAAAATGCCGATAAACTCGAAGTATTGTTTAGCATGTTCATGTTTACAGAGACATGTGACATAACAAACGTTTATTCCTAAAGATTCAGTATATTTCTCGGAGTATTCCGATGTAGTAGACACGCTCAGATGACAACCTTATTCTGCATTCACGGAATAAATTGCCAAATGACAAATTCGATACTCGAACAAATGAAGGAGTACGATCCCAATTAATCATAACAGATGTCATCGTTTTTCCAACTTTCACGAGGCAACTGCTGCTATCTTGCGCCTCCAAAACATGCACAAACGAAAGAAACTGCCCGCAACGCTGCCTTCGACTCCTCACGTCATGTTGCTTTATCCCTGGCAGTATTTGTTAGAATTGCGCAAGATGCACCACTGAACAACGTAATCGTCTGGCCCCGTGGTCGACGTATAAAGTCATATGCTTGCTAAATCTGTCAACGATGATGATAGAAAGTGAGCATAGTGAATCGAAGTATGGAATTTCTTTCTACACTCTTATATTCAAAGAAGCAACGTATAGTCTGCCGACACGCGCTTCTTTTTGCACACTAACGAAGGGATGCCGACCTCCGAACTAGCAGAGATTCTCATCGTCATACGTTTCTCCGCAAGACATTATCACCAAGTGGTTCCTAGTTTAAATAAGCGTCTTGGAGTATTTCTAATAAGCTTACATTGTAAACTTACCTCTCACACACCTTTAGGTGTACCTATAACTTTGACATAGTCATTCTTCGTTGTTATTGGTCGCAACTCATCTAACTTTTCGGCAATCAGCTTATCGTAAACTTCTGCCGCCTCATCTGTCTATTAATTAAAAAAGAACGTGCGCATGAGATGAGTTAGCTTTTCAAATGGTAACATACCAGGAGACCCAACAGACAGAAAAAAGAAGGGGTGATATCTAACATCAACATCGTAGTATTTGAGTTTCACCCATCTCTCGGAATCGGCTAAGCGATTTACGAGCGAGAAGGTATTCTTACGAGGTCCTTGGGTATCCGGATCTGTTGATTTTACCGAAACCTAATATAAAGGGCGATGGTCAAAGTAGTGGTGGTAACAAGCATAGTATTGTTGTCCAAAGAGTCAGTAAATAACAAGGTTTTGTGTGTGTCCGCTTAGTTTATCTATTCGGAACATTTGCATCCTAATCTTTGTCAAACACTTTTATACCTGGATGGCCTTATTACCCTTTGCACGCGCACTCGAACTGGATCCTTCTGCCACGTTATCATCTTCAACCGATTTACCGGAATTCTTATCCTTGAGCGCATTCTCCTCTTCCGTAGCTTTCTTATTGGCTACCTTTTGCTTCTCATCGATTCTATCGAGATACTTTAGTCCTGGGCGAAGCTGGTAGGCCGTGCTTACTGGTGTCAGATGTAATTGTCCTGTCGGGAACGGGATATGAGATAGCATAAGCATACAAACATTTTGCTTGACAATCCTTCTTTCCACATGTACATGCCACCATAAATATCGCATCGAGATACATACCGTTATGCATCACACCAATCATGTAATTCGCCTGAGCAGGTATGATTGTTGCCGTCAATGTCTGCTTATGCATCAGATTTTCATGTTCGCGCGAGGTGTCGTCATCATCAAAATCCCAATCATCCTTATCGTAAATAGTCTTTGCTTCTTTATCGTTTAATCCCAATGCCAATTCTCTCCCCCTATCTCGATTATACCAGTTTGCGTTTGGCTGCAGAGGAATATCCAATTCGAGGACTTGTGACTTGGGTTTCAGACGTGCTTCCAGTGGCACATGTGACGCAGTATATGGATGAGCGCGTGGTCTGACTGGATATTGTAAGAGTGAGAGTTTATTGGCTAGTTGACGGGAAAAATATATAGGAATTTCTTGGAGAACATCCGGGTCAGTTGTTGAGGGGATGGTTATTGGTTGAGAAGCATCAGAGAGTTCCATTGGTTGTGGGTCCAGATTGAATGCCACAGATTTTGATTTTCGTTTTTCCATATCGTTGAAAAGTGTAGTAGGGCGTAACAATAAGCCAAAAAATTAAAATCCATTCTGATTGATATAACGTGATTTTAGTGTCAATTGTCACTCGTGTGATGTTCATGTGATTTATCTGCAGATCTCGCTATATACAATGGCTTCGAGAGTGTTCCCAGCCAACCAGCACCTTTACAGAGCGAACTGTAATCCAACCGTATAAGTTAACAGCCATAAATCCAGTAAGATTTTATAACGCCGTAGTTAGTGAAATTGACTTTTTTAGACCTACAGTGCTCGTCAGCTTACAAGATTTCTCAACAACTTGTAAAGAAGTAGCGAAGTAACGAGGATCCAACTCCACGAGCTAAGGTAAAAGGTTTCTTTGAATACAAATAAGAAGTGTGGTGTAAGTTATGGAGCATTGCACCAGTTAGAGACAATGTAATTGTCTTTGAATAGTTCGGAAGTATTTTTACCAATAAATCAAAGCAACAATACGCATCACGGTGTTATGATATTTATTCATGCCCTGTCCTATTTCCTTTAGATTACATCGCATTGTGCTTGGCTTCATGAGCATTGGATTCTTGTTGTTTTGGTGTTGATTGACGACGAAAATTGATTTCGCGTCTTCGAATAATCAAGCCAAGCGGTATATCCAAATTCAAATCGTACTTAGTATTCACAAAGAAATGTGCTTCCGTTTAAGTTCTTTCATTATTACTTTTATATAATGATAGTGTATTGAGAAATGGGACGTAATGGCATATACTGTATATTGGCTTGGTTCTTCGAAGACGCGAAATCAATTTCGTCGTTAATTAGAAAAAGGCACCAAAGACAACACATTGACTCTGAACTTATTCCCTAAATGAAAGAAAGAAAGGTGAAGAGGACAAGCAGACAGAATACTTAAAAAAGAGACTTTAAGGGCTGAATTAGAAAATTAACTTACAGTAGCGGTCATAAGTATCCTACGGGTCATATCCTGCAAATTTACATAATAATAACTGCTTAAATTTTCCAAAACAAAAATTTGACACAATACCTGGTCACACGTAAAATTTCTGCTCGAGCGGATGTCTCCAGCAAAATTTCCAAACATCGGTATTTTGCGTCGGACTATGCTACACCCTCTATGCGATGCCAACCATAAAACTTCAAAAATTCGTATCTCGACACTTTTCTAACAAAATTTTGTATTCTTTTTTTTATCTCTCTTTTATTATTTGAACCAGCCGTAATTATGTTTAGGATCTGTGGGCAAATTATAGCGTGATCGCTACTATGAAATGCAAATAAGCGTGCAACATGACGACTCAATGCGCAGTTGTTTCTTTTTATAGTAACAATCGTTTCATAATTCAACTAGATGTTCAAAAACCATGTAGAGATGGCTTAGATAAACAAAAGGAAAAAAAGATCATGAAAATTGATTAGAAACTTGTGGAGATATGAATTTTTGAAGTTTAAGTTCGAAATAAGCAAATGCGACTTTGATGTTTTCATATGTTTTCGAAACAAAATATCCGATGTTTGGAAATTTTGCTGGAGACATCCGCTCGAGCTGAAATTTTACGTGTGACCAGGTATTGTGTCAAACTTTTGTTTTGGAAAATTTAAGCAGTTATTATATGTAAATTTGCAGGATATGACCCGTAGAATACTTATGACTGCTACTGTAACAAGAACAACAGGAGAAAACTTATTGAATAGTTGGTTGTGGATTACTGTTATACTGCATTAATATGTCTTAATTATTTTATTGTAATAATTAAAATCAGGAGAAAAAATTTAACTAGAAGCAATTTTTATTTAATATAAATTATTCTAATATTGGCTTGGGACAAGTAATGTCTTTATGATAAGGATATTCTTGCCTTTTGTAATCCAAAGGAGGAGGTGTTAATATAAATAGATAAAAATATCATTTGTGATTGGATGGATATGAAGTACTACAACCACTTTAGGTCCTTAACTGCACAAAATCTTTTGCAGACTTTTTATAGCAATGCAATAATGGACAATGGCAATATAGTAAACTTATTTACTATTATTATTCTTACCCAGAGAATAGAAGCCAAGAGTCTAACCAGAAACAGCAAACAATTATCCTAAATACATTTCTGTATCTCCTTGTGGATATGATATTGCACTGTATGTGAATTGATAATTATTTTGATTAGGAAAGTTTTCAATCCAGAAAAAATTATGAATGTAATCATTCTGGTCCTAATATCTACCATTAAAAGATGAAGATTTTGCTAAAGCCATCAAGGAACACAAAAACAATTTGTTAAAATAATACACATGAAAATAAAAGCAAAAGTATTAGTGATAAATATCTTTGATGGTAACAGGTTGTGTATATGTTCATATTATCATCATAACAGCAGATAGTAGTTTGCATTACTTATTCAATAAAAGTTAATATTAAAATGGCTGAATAATAGTTTATTCAGTTATTCAGTTCGCTTTTTCATTCTTGATTGGCTAGGATTCTTTTAAAAACTTTTTCCATTTGATAAATTTTATAAGTGGATTTTTTTTTATCTAATACTAGATACTCCTGGAGAGTGTGGGTATCATTGATTCTAAAAACATAAGGGGCAAATTTTTCTCCTTGAGCTTTCTTTAAAATGCTTCTCATAGTAATAGTGTGGTTCTATAGTGGATTTGATGTAAATTAGTTTCATATTTATATTTTTATATGGACATAATCCTATATTAAGCATGCATGTTATTTGACTCATATTTATCTCAGCCACTAATATTAGTTACATTCTGGTATGATGGGTTTAATGTTAACAAGTCCACAAGTTGTGCATGAGCACCACTATTACTATTACTATTACTATGTCAAAGCATTTTCAGTTACATTTACAGCCACAGAAGCCATTTTGAGTTTATATGATCAAATACTCACTTTGTCTGGTTTTTTTTGCAGCACACCCCATAATATAAGCATGCAAAAATTAAAAATTTTAGCACCTTTTTTGATAAGAAAAACAGTCTTCCCTATATTATATATCACCATCTTAATCTGTCATGTGCATTTACTGATAACTCATTGTTTCCATTTCAAAACAGTATCAGATATACTGTATATGCGTCTGTACACAAAACATTCAATTTCTTCGATCTTCCTATAAAATATAACTTTGAAACAAAAATGTAGAAACTGTTCCCTTGCTAATAGTAATACATCATCTTTATTAATTTCATATCATGATATTAGTAACGTTCCCCTTATTGTCTAATTTGCTCTATGTGTAGGCCACTAAATATGATATAAGTACACAAGTAAATAATAGAACAGTTACCATATAGTATACAGTATAACGCATTGGATTACACGAACTACTCACTTATAAATGTCATAATAATAATAATTCTCAATCTATATCCTGCTTAACATCACTAAACAGATAGCAGCTGCCTAAAATAATAAGGTTTAGTACATCTGTTGTGTAGGTACAACAATTTATGCACGTATTATCACATGATTGTCGTGGCGTGTGGCTACTTAGTGGATCAGTGGCACAGAATTTGGCTGAGCGATTTTAATTTGTAGATTTGAGAAAATATACGTCGAGCCCAATGTGAGAATTGAAACATGAAGCCATACGGTGATATTTCTTCCTCACCTGTCCATCGTAGCTTTGACAGGATTAACAAATTTAATTTTCGTGCGTTGATCAACTTTGGATTAGCCGGTCAATATTAAAGCTGCTTCAGAATTAATTTTCTTTATGACAAAGGCTATATTTATCTTTGACGTTACCATTCTAATAATTACCCTCTGTCCCCAGATCGAGAATGCATTTGTGTTGACCCTAACTAAATATAGCCTGGGCGCTGAGTACCTCCTTTTGGTAATAATGTATTAAGTCAAAAATACAATCGACAGTCACATCCTATACAGTCACACATCCAATACAGTCACATGCTGTTTCGGTCCCTGCCATTTTCATAGTGATTTTCCTCGTGAACCCGATTTTGGATCCCACTGGAACAATATGAAAAATCACCCTTTATAGTCACCGGTATTGTATAACATTCAAGGTTTAGTGTTATATTTCCATATTCAGCATAAAGTGACCGAAAAGATTGAAAATTATGCATGTATAATTACACGATTTTTGCTTTAAAAAATTATCACACATTAATTCTCCTCATTAACCAAAGCTTATTTAAAACAAGACCTCAACTGAATCTCGGTAATAAACATTTGTGAACATGTTAAAAGCGAACTAGTTTAATGAGAAATTCATACTTTCCATAGAGTATCTACTGTTAACAATCAAAGTATCAATAAAATTTAAAGAGAGAAGAATTAACATCAATGGTATTTAAAAAGCAAGAGTTGATTATCTTTAGTATGGATGTTCTAATAGTATAATCTTAATCACATGATCTACGCAAACCTTCATACAGTCACATTTCCATACAGTCACATTTCCATACAGTCAACAGTTTTGCCTGATCCCGACGGCGTGACTGTAGGGGGTCGACTGTACTTTGATTAGATTACGGTCGCAGTTAGGATTATATGTTATACCCAAGTCAATACAACATCCGATACTTAAAAGAAACGAGCACTATCTATTTTATCTCTAATAGTTAGTCTGAACTTACATACTGTATATATTAATTAGCTGAAAGCCAAGTCCAAACTATTATTTGTATTAGCATAAGCTGCTTGATATTAAGCCAGCTCCGAATCCTATTGCATACTGCTGTATGTTATAAATGAAATAAAACATTCTTTGCTCGAAAAATCTTGTAAATAACTAGCAAGCAAATACTGGAGGATAACAGTTTAATTTGTTAAGTAATAAAAATATCAACGTACAAAAAAGATTGGATTGTTCAAAATAGCGACCCACCATATTATACTGGCAATATTAGTAATAGAAACTCCAGTACTAAATTAATTAAAGAAGTTTACCAAAGTTAATTTATTAATTTAATCGATTATAGCAGTAAAAATAGTCTTGCAATTGCTGGATTACAAA